TGCGGAGGAGAGGGAAGGTTCTTTTCCTTTTAGCTATGCCATGACCCAGTGCACAATTTTCCTGAACTAGGCTTACGCAAAGCTCCGAGTGAGATTAGCGAACAATTCGACCGTTATAATAAGTAGTTGTACGGTAATTATAATATGCACAATATATCCCACCTCCTAAGTCACAACAATTTTCAAATGAACTTAAATCAAACGCCGTCACCACGGCGTGACAGAAGTGCTGTGACGTGGAATGCATAGCAGATTGAAATCGTATGCGGTCCTCCTCGGTGTTATATGAGGATTTAAAAAAGTCCTCCGACGACAGGTTGAATGTTCTCATCCACTGATTCGATCCTTCACGAATTGCACTCTCTAAGTTTCCGAAGATGGGATAGGTCACTTCATTGGAGTGTTTTATGTACCCATAAACCGAATGGGGACTCGACTTTGTCAGAAACTGTTTTGTTATGTTACTGTTTGAATACAGCCATGATCCATCTTGCTTAGTCTTTTCCAGCAATTCCAGAGCAACCAATGTGTCCATGAAGCAAGCTGTGGCATCAGCATTGGATCCAATCTTTGAAGACATGTCTGCGACCGACTGCGGAGCATCGGAATCTTGAAGGATATCGAAGATACCCAAATCACATGCTGCGAACAGCACTTTGGATTCACGAAAAGCGTATATCAGATCATGCAGTTTATCTGGGAGTGGCGGAGAAACTGTAATATTTTTTCCAACAGCCGAAACTCGTGTAGTGTATATGTTACGGATGAGTTGCGGAATCCTCCACGCTCTGGTCGCTATTGTTTGCATATCTCTTGAACATTGATGTCTTCACCATAACAAGCAAAGGAAGCCACTCGATTCGCTCGTAATACTAACAACATTAACCGTTTACATGTGAATTTAATTAGCATCAAATTAACCCAACAAGCGGTCAAAGTTCGGCCTATTTTCCTGTCACGGGCTTGTGACGTAGCTGAACCCTTTGCTTAAAAAAAAAAAAACAACAACAACAACAACAACAAGACGCCTCAAGATACTGAGCGTAGCATTGAAAGGAATTGTGCAGTTACAGTAAACTACTATGATTAATCAGTTATATCAGCAGAAGAAATCACCATAGAAACTTGTAGTGTTGAAACTTGGTAGGAGACGTTAATTTCCCACGCACGAGATTACTGTGTGGTGGATGTCCTCCCCTGGGGTGGGATGGGTGGAAGAGACACATGGCACATTTGCATTTAAACGAGCTATTCGCTCATATGCGATATGTGGTTAAATAAAGTTACTTACTTACTTACTTACTTAGTGTTGAAGAAACCGTGACGAAGGGTAGGAGCTCAGAAACCCTTGGATTTTTCTGAAAAAAACTGGAACTCGACCTACTGATTTCCTCGTGTTTCTCATTGCTTGTTTTATCCCTCCTAAGTGCAACAGGTCGGTAAAAACGATTTCCATCTCCGCTGACATCGCCGGACTTCTCTCCTTTAAGGACGTATATTTTCAGCAGTCGTAATTTGTTTATCAAGAACGACAATAGGTACGAAAACATGCTGTACACACTAAAAGATAACTAAAATACTATACTGATTAATTCCCTGGTGATTTGTAGTTAATCTCGTGATATTTCGAGACCATTGGGCGACGTCAATTTCACAATAAACCTTACGTAAGGTAAGAACTTATTCCGTAGATTTTATCACGTATTTCATCGTTAATCATACAAAAACGTACGCTTCCCTTGAAAAAAGCACAACCTACATTATTAACGATTATCACCTTTATCTAATCAAAGAATACCTATGGCCAACTCGCACATAAAACACTTAACCTACAGATGAAACATGAATTTCAACTCGGGCGTTTCCTTTGGAAAGCCCGAGTAATTATTGGTCTTGCAGCAATGCAAGGTTGCTCCTATTTCAAAAGGCAAAGTTCTGGAAAATCACGAAGAGATCCTTAAGTATGGTGAACATCCAACTCCGCAGAATGATGATCTTATATATAACCTACAAAAAAAAGCACAGAATAGTATCCTGCGTCTATCGAATTTGCAAAATTCGATAAAAATTCAGCCGCTGGAATCCAAATCTTTCTTCGCCCACACAAGCCAAATTCTACTATTTGCCAATTTATGTCACGTTGCGCTTCACAGTAGCTCAATGAATATTTGCATTGTAACGCAATAATCTTTGTTTACAGGGTTTTCTTCAGCTTGTTTCTGATAAGTTTTCGGCCTCGAAACGAAAATACCTTAGAACGCTCCTAATTTGATCGCTAGTTTTTTTGACTGAGTGAAATTAAAGATATGCGGTAATGAATTCCATAGGTTTTCTTTTTTCAGGAAAGCACAGGATCATTTACTTCTAATCAATCCTGCCATCAGTGTGTATCAAAATCGATAAGGATTTTACACATTCCAACTGGCTAGCTTTGCCATTTGACCATGCAGTGAAAAAAGAAACCCAGCCGGATTTTTTTTGCCGGAGTTATTCGGAATTACACAACCGAGTGCTAACTTAAACTAAGACTGAAACGTAGAAGGTGCGTGAACAACCCGGGAAATTCCTGAGGAATTAACTTCCCGATAATTACTAAACGGTTTTGCTTGGTGCGAAATGCCTAGTTTTTCAGCAACGCGGATTTGATCGATGTGAAGTTCCAAGTTTCGCTTAACCTGCAGAGCGGGCGCAATTTTGGCGAGCTTGCTTATCGCATGCCGCGCCTTTTGGCTGATGGGATTTTTCGGTCCTGAAGAAGAGGGGAATTCAAAAGAGGTCCACCTACCGCATATTTTCTCTTATCCACCCTCTTTCGTTCGCGCTCATTCAATCTTCCGTTGTTCCGGTTTTGTTGACGCTTTTGGCGCTCTCCACGTAGGAAGTATGTGAAAAGACCCCTGCAAATTTCCCTAATTGCCTATACTGATTTCGACAATTCAAACTAGTTCAAATTAGTCCACTACAGGACCAGAGTTGGAGCTCCTGGAATTTGGACTAATATACACCTAATACAGAAAGATGAGTGAATAATATGTAAAAAAAATATATACAGTTGCTACATAATGTCATTGCCTAAAACGGTGGAGCATCAATACTCTCCAATAATGGCGGATATCTATGGATCCCAAATTGGTGTGCTCCCTCCCTCGAAGCATAGGATGCTTCTATACCAGCGGATTGGAACTGAAGCACAAGCTTCAGGAGATGAGGCTTTGAGAATGCGAGATCCCAAACGAAGTTGCCGATGTGAGTGCAGAACTTCAAACGGGGTCAGAAGAATTCTGAGGAATCGAGGAAGCCAGAGCCATTCGTGGTTTGGACAAAGACGACCATTTTTATGTTGATCACACGAAGTGGAACTGTTGGAGTCCAGAGAGGCAGCGTCAGCATTTCAACCGCTTTCGTAAATTTGTGCCCAAATCGCACGACTCGTAAAGGAAATCGTGCTCAGCTGGTCCTACGACCTCACCGAAATCTAATAGGAGAAGGGCAGAACTCATCGGAGCCTGAGATCTTTGCTGACCGTATTCCTGATGTTAACTCACCGGCCGAAAAAATCTCTTGTACCTCCCCTATGCCTGTCAAAAGTTAATAGAAGCTCGCAATGGCAGGTAAGATTGACTTATAAAGTGTACACCCACAGTTCTTTTTACTATTGTATGTTAAAATGTTCGACCATATAACCAGGAAGTTGATGACATACATGTACATGCTTATATACATATCTTAAGAGTGCAGTTTCCATTTCTTCGATACAGAACAATGTTTAGGGAAATTATGTTTTTCTGTCAAAGTGATGCAAATCTGACAACTCGTCTTTAATTTATTTGCGTCACTTTGAAATAGTTGGTTGGAATTCTCTGTCGCAAGATGGAGTGGAGAAACGTGCATCTCTGTGGATTATTTGTAAATTTTTTGCACTTTTCCATAGGTGGACAAGCCCATTTGCTCATCGACTCAAGGGGATATCCTGAACCCTGAAAGAATAACTGGCAAACACTGATGATCTTGTCCACAGAGATGACTCCAATCCCTGCCCTAAATTAGTCACGCGATGCGAGCAGTGCAGAGTTTATTTAACACTTCAGACAAAGAGATAATGAAAAGTGTAGGGTTCGTGATAGAACCGATAAGTCAGGCAAAATAGCGAAGTAGTCGAGTATACGGGAAATACATACCTGTATTACCTCACCAATTTCCTAAAAGAGCAGTGGTGGATCTAGGGGGAGCCCCCCCGTTATTTTGAGTAAAAAAAAAAGGAATCGCAGAAGGAAGAAGAGCCGGCAGGGCAAGCTAAAAAAAACTGCAAAGAGTTTAAAGAGTGACTTTTCAAGCGTTAGCCCTTTGTTAGAGCGATTGGACAAAGGGCTAACGCTCGAAACATCAGCCTTTACACCTTTTACGGTGGCCAATTTACGTTTTTAACTCAGCTGTTAACGCTAAATTATGTTGACACAGTCTGTGCTATTTGTATTTTTCGAATAAATATTTCTTTCTTATTTCATGATACATTTTAATGTATAGACAAAAGTATATAACCTGAGTTCCGCGTCTCAGCCGTTAAGGTGAGCACTCGGCTTGCGCATTCAGTTCTGTTTTCCTGTTGTATATCGCTGGCAATTATCATTTTGAATTACTCCAGTAAAGTTTAAACGTCATTTTAAGTCATTTTACTTTATTTTAAAAATCAGTGTAGGTTACTTTCGATCATTTTAGGTCAAGACATCGGTCAAGGTTATTTCAGGTCATTTTAGGTCATTTTAGACATCACTCAAGGTCATTTAAGATCATATTTGGTCATTTTAGGCGATTCCTTGTTTTAGTAACTACATTAATTTGATGCTAATTATATTCGCATGCGAGCGGTTAGTTACGCGCGAATCGGGTGAGGAAGCCCAAGAGATGTATTAAACTCTGAAGCAAAGGACGACGGAACACCAAAGACAAGGATATTTAATTTCTATTTAACGTTTCTAGACGACTACAGTTAAGGATACGTTGTACAATACGTTGTTTTAAACGTTGTACAATATCAGGTCCACATAATGATAAAAAAAGAAATGAAGAAATCTTTCTGCTGTCTGAACAAGTCACCTCTATTTGCTATGGAACGATTTCCAATATTCCTAATCAATCAGTATTCAACAGACAAGCCAAACTTTTCTTTTTGCGTACATGTTTGGTTATTAATAGGTTGGCCACATATACTCACACTAGGTTGAGTAACAGTCACACCTCAAGGACATCGCGGTTATCCTTGAGAAATTCAGCAGCTTCCGCTTCAACGCATGCTCGGAAGCCTTCACGATGATAGGCGGAGAACATTAAAGGCGTGAAGAATTGATTAGCTGTGCTGTGATTCGGGAACTTGTGGCAGAGGAGCTCAGATAAACCGCTCAAATAGGACTTTTTGTTACAACATGCACAACAACAGAAGGTCAACTTGTCGACGTCTTCTTCGTTCAGATATGGACTATTCCCCCAGTCACGTGCGTCCAGATGGAAACCAAACTCTTCCCAGGTTTTGACCTCGCTCTTTTCACCTTTTCGCGGATCTCTTGGCCGAATGAACAAAATTTCGCCTTCACCAACTTTGTGGTCGTTTTCGTAGTATTCAACGTTAAATCTAGCGAAAAAAAAAGAAACAATAGATTAAAAATTATTGTTTTGAAGCAAGAGATTATAAGCATGTTTGAATTTTAAGAGCTTCTAGCTTACATTGAATTTATGCCATTTAATTTATGTCGTGTAGAACGTCTTTCATTTTAAAAGAGAAAACGATGTAGTACTTTGACAAGATACAAAACTATGAAACAGGCAGTGATACACCAAGAAGGAAAAAAGATAAGCTGAAGATAACTGCAAATGGTGAACTCGGTCCAAGCTTCACACGATACACAAACCTTGGCATGGATCCGATAACCAAGAATAGACTCGCTATCCCAAATCAATAGAAAAAAATGGGACCTCATTTCTCTCTTGCGCCAACTCAAGGTCGTATTTCCCCTCATTCCCACCTCCCACTCGAAAAACACCAGTGCTTTCCCTGATTGGGAAAGCTTGCCCTGTCAGGTGTCTTGTTTAAAGCGGCGCTCGACAACAAAGAAGAGGTGGCAGTAAATTACGGAAATGATCATAGACACGTACCTGAAATGTCGTGGTTTTTTTTCATTTGGTTGCTGAAGCTTCACGAAATTCTCCAACAGGTCTGAAATGACGTCACGACCGCCCTGGCCGATAAACGAACAATTCAGGTCTCTACGAGCCAGCATCAGTGCTTTCAGTAGTTCTTCCCCATAATTCTTCTCATTGGAATAGTAACCACCATCCACCACAATAATCTTCTTGAGTTTCTTCTTTAACAATGGCAAAATAGCAAGATTTTCCACGTGGCCTCCATCGCTAAGTAGCATGATGGGAGGAGGCATGGGTCCGATGTTGTCAATGTTAAGGCCTTCTCTCACGAACTTCACAAAGGAAACGTGCACGATGAACCACCTAGGTTAAAAAACATAATATATATTTGTTTAAAGGGGGTAATTTTTCCAAAGAAACTGTGATGCTGCATCGGTGGTGGGTATTACAAGATGATTTGGTTTTGTCAACTAAGTTGATAATGTAAATGGGCCACCATAAAGAGATTCTTCGGTTCGAGCGTTAGCCCATCGTCAGAGCCAAATATATACATATAAAGAAGGACAGTTTATCTGAAAAATGGTCTTTTTCAAACTGTGAGTGACCGAGAATTTTACCACTCTCCGTGATTCGAGTGGGCTCAAGTCGTGTGACGATTTACAAAGTAACCACAATGATCATATATTTCATTTATAATTACAGAAAGCTTTCATTTCAATTAACTTCTGATCAGGGTTAACCTGGTCACCATAATTGAGGAATGGACATTTTGGGTTTCTTCATCTTATCATTTAGAGTGACTCCAGTGGAGTGCCAAAGGAATACAAGAATTTCTTTGGTTTTAATCAAAACCCTGCTCAGGTTAATTAAGGCCTGGGTCAGAAATGACTTTCGCCTCCAGTGCCCCCCCAGCAAGGTTTGCGGAATTCGCGTGGACTGCGCGAGTAACTATAGTCACTTGGAATCAAGATCGCGTAGTTCGTGAACGGCATCCGCCATTTTGAAGTGTCGGCTTTGCATTGGTTTTTCCCATCTTCGCTGGTGAATCCGACAATTTAGAGGAAGACATCAAAAGAAGGTAATAACATTTTCTTTGCTATCTTCATTTCCTCAAAAAAAAACATGATACGAAGACTTCTAAACACCGCTCTCAACATGTTCATTGACTTCACTGCAAATACAATGCAGCATGAATTTATACTATAGCGCTCATTGCTAGAGCTCAATAGCATTTTACAATGTTTGTAACTTATGCATAGAAAAAAGTACTATGTTTTGTAACAAATGTATAGAAAAAAGTTTCATTGTAGATATACCATTCAATTTTGAAATTAAATTTAGCTTGATAAATCCTCTATCATATCATGATGTGTATACTTATGGTGTCTATCAAAATTTAGGCTTTTGAATATGCTTTGGAAACAATTTCTCCAAGAAGCAGATGAATTTACTTACAAAAGTAATCCCCCAAATCAGTTGTTAGGTAAGTTTGATTGCTTCTGAACACTCGCGCGTCAAAATGGCGGACACTAAGTTGAATACGTGACTGCGAGTTTTCAAAATTCCCACCTCTTAAACAGTTTTAATTTGTCTTTTTTCCAAATAAATAGGAACCTGTAGGATTACTTTCATTGACAGCGGTTGGAACCAGGTAAAGGCTAAGATGTTTTCGGGCGAAAACCATGATAGAGGAAGCAGCTTCGCAAAGACAAACTTGATTTAATCTGCCTAGCACATCTCTTTTTTTTTTTGGCAGCCATTCCAAGTGGGAAAACAATGAAAAACGTCTCAAATATTCATAGCGATAACTGCATTTTCATTTGCCTTATGTTTAGTGGTGGGAATTTGCTCAAGAAAGCAACCGACGAATTTAGCGCCTGAATTAACTGTTTTTGGCTGTTGAGAGTATCATGTTACGCTGCCACAATTCAGTCCGAGAGAGATGATAGTGATACACATTTCTGCCGAGTATGAGAAAAACCCCTTGCAAAATAGCTAAGTTATTCTCAATTTTGTGAAAAATATGGGTTAAAGGCAAGGTGACCTAGGCCTTAATTAACCTGAGTGGACCACCTTCTGAACCAAACAGCTAGGAAGACCAATGTTGTCCTGTTCATTTTTCCTGCCCTTGAGGCTGTTTGCATTGAGCAATTTACCACGAGCTCTCCCGTGCTCCTCCGGATATTTCCCATTGTTCAGATTGTTCAGGCATTTTTTAGTATTTTGGTGTGGGTCTATCCACACCATCGTAAGATGCTCAGATTTATACAATCCTTACCTGGCTATCTTCTCCCATAAGTTTGGGTTCTTATTTCCTGTATCAGAGAGAGCTCCAATGCAAGCCAACATCAGGTGAATTGCAAAGAATGTGAATACTCCTGCTTTAATTGACCACACATGTCCTCGGCTATAGTAAACCGCTGGTACAGCGATCAATGGAAGACCACGGAGAATGTTGATGAGAATTGGGAGGAGCTGTTGTAAAGAGAAAAAGATACATGCAGGCCTATAGCATTAATTAATGACAGAGTCAAGAAGGTTACTTACTGTTACTCTGTTTAAACATGATATGTACTTGCAGAGGGAATATCATGTTTAGGGATCAGTCATTATTTATCAGGGGTTGGTAGATTTTGGTAGTGTCACAATAACGTTTACCAGATCTTCCCATAAGGCTCTGTAACATTCTCTGACAGGCAATGTTCGTCCTTTATAATCAGTTGGCAAAGACCGATCTCTCCACAGTTCCCCCTGAAAACCCTATGATTCCATAAAAATCCTGCCTCCCCCTTAAGCTCCCCCTCCTCTTCCGTTAGAGCAGCTGATCTCAACTGCACTGAGGCACGCAAAGCATGGTATATCCTTGCCAAACGAATATCATGCTTAGAAAGAAACTCCCTGAGAAGACCATAACTCTCAGCAGTCCTTTAGTAGTTATTGTAAGATGTAACTTATCTGATCCCTGGTTGAGCAACCTCTTACCTTCATGAGCCATCCCTCCTTTTTAATTGCCTCGAGGTTGCTGATCACTGTGGCTCCCATTTCGAGTCCAAGAATCGTGGCAACGCGCAATTCCTTAAGGTTATCACCGTACCCGGAAATTGCTGCTGCAGACGTTGCCATGGCGTCTGACAACTCTATATCTCGAGGCCTCAGCCTATCCTTGAATGGATCGACAGTCGATGGACCTCGATCTAAGCGTTCTATTGTGGTAGGCGACATTGTCAGGAGATCATCATCCGTGTCAGAATCTGCCTCTTCCTTCCAGCTGTGGATGGTCATGTTTGATATATATTCAGGTTCTAGGCCTCTGAGATCTGCCAGGTTCAAAGATCTTTTCTTTACTGGCTCAATGTCATCCGCCAAAGAATTAAAGCTACCTCCCTGTTCTCTGTGACCAGAATCCCGCTTCTGTTTTCTCTTCAGACATGTCCACAAAGGGCAGAAAATCTCCTGGAGTATTTCCAGACATCCCTTGGTAGCTAAACTTTCCTTTGAGTAAAATGCCTTCTGAAGTCTCCATCTGCAAATGGGTAGAGTTAAAAGTGATAAAGTAAGTAACGATTCTGCGGATCAGGTAGACGCAGTTGCCTAATTGTTAGTGCGCTGAACTTCTGGAGATCGAGAGGTCTAGGTTCGAGACCTGGCCTGGTCAGTGTGGTGTGTTCTTGGGCAAAACACTGAACGCTCACAGTTCCTCTCTCTACACCGGAGTAAAAATTGGTACCAGCGAACTGTCAAGGAAGACTGATGAAATTCTTGGGGGAGGGGGGGGGGAAGGGGTAGTGATACTTCTAGTCATGCCAGGATAGCCGGGTAAGCTTCGGCTAGGAGGACCACTTGGCCGCAGTGCCGACCTTACCTTTCTTTTCTGCGGATAAACATTACCTTTTTTGAGTCCTACCTGTTAAAGATATGGACGAGCCTCTTCCTTGATTGTGCCAGGTAGGGAACAAACCACATGATAAACCCAGAGGCAAAAAGCAGCCCATTAAACAGCCCATCAGAATACACAACACCAATAATCTTGGCTTTGTACACTTTCCAATAGATGATGTAAGAGTAGAGATAGATTAGAATGCCGTAGGACGTTTTGTCCCGCAACAGAGGTAGGACGAACCATAGTACCACACCAATCACTACAATGATCGCCCGACTCCACAGGGGGATTTTAATGAAAAAATCGTTGATTGCAAATGGGAGGAAAGTAAGAGAAAGAAGTAAGAAGGAAATTATTGAGAAAAGTCTGAAATATTTAGACTTCCTTCTAGGTAACCATTGCGACAGAATGTAGGAGATGACAAATGACATGACCAGAACCGTAAACAGGGAAATCTTAGAGAAAATTACGCTTTCTGGACATGGAGTACGGGTTGATGCAAACTGATCACAATCCACTTTGGCTCGAAGTATCTTTCCGAAAAGGTAATCGATGATGAAGGCAAGTGGAAATGCGTATGATCCATATATGACAATCGGTTCAATGAAGGTGACAGTCAGTACGAGGAGGAACATCACAATTGTATCAACGATTCCTTGACGTGGCTTCTCCCAGTTACAAAAGTAACCTGCTCTTTGTCGCATGTTGTCAAAGAAGTCTTTCTGCCATTCTTCGCTGTCCTCTGTTTTCTTCTCTTTTCTGTATTTCCAATCCAGAAAGGATGTGCCTGTGTAACCACCCCCTGACACGCAGCTCAGGTAGTCTACTTTTGCTTTATCCTTTAGCAGCCTGCGCAGGACTCCAGAGCATAGTGCTGCTGACCGAATGCCACCACCAGAAAAAGCCAAACCAGTTTTTTTAGATGTCATGTTGTCTGAAAGTTTACAAAGTTATTTTTAATAAACAAACATATGAAAACATGTAAACATATGAAAAATCATATGTGTACACTGCGGTTGAAGAAACTAATATAGAGTCGATCCTCGCAGTTATGAACACTACTGAACTTGAAGTTGAAATATATTTCATCTACTAGTTCAGTAGTGTTCATAATTGCGAGGATCGATTCTGTATAAGTTATTTTTAGTTCCAAACATTAACAGAACCGTACCAGTTTTTAGATCCAAACTTGTAGGATCTACGCATAATACTTTTAAAACTAGTTTTACCCCCTCGTACTTTTAGAAAAAAATGTCCTCCCTCCTTAACAGATTTGCAGTTGACTGATTTACGTATGGCTCATCAAAAATATTGTTCTTTTGGGGTTAAATTTCACAAAACGAAGTACCTATTTGTATCAAGTCGTAAGATGCCAAATATTGCTTTGGGTTATATGGAACGCTAACACTGTCTTAAGTGATTTCCCATCATTATATGCGGTGCATTGTTCATTATATGCGGTACATTTTGCATTATATGCGGTGAAGTTTTCATTAGATGTAATGCTTTGTCAAACATATGTGGTGCTTTTTGCATTATATGCGGTTTTTTTGTCGTTATATGCAGTGCTTTCGTTATTATTTATGGTGCTTTCGTCATTATATGTGGTACTTTGGTCATTATATGAGGTACTTGTTATATTATATGCGGTGCTTTTGTCATTATATGCGGTACATGCGGTACTTTCTTCATATTGTGGATGAGGTCGAGATTCGACGGGGAACTGGGTAAGAGCTTATAAAAACCTACAATGCAATGGGTTCCGAGAATCCGCCATTTTGTTTCCAGCGCTCGAACGGACATCATGGATTCAATTTTAAACCAGTTGAGCTCGGGAACCCTTTCAGAGAGCTATTCTAATGAAAGGATAAACCCAGGAGTAGCATTATCTATGAAAGATAGCGATTTGGCCGGCCTAGGAGTGAACACAATTCGTGACCGTATTCGACTCAGAGAACTGTGCACAAACTATGTTGCTGCACCACATATAATATAAATATAAATAGTACCTCATATAAAAAGTACATAAATATGAATATTAAGTAAATATAAGGAAATGTAAAAAGTGCGTCATATACTGAGCAAAGCATACAATGACAAAAGCATCGCATGTAATGTAAAATATATTGGACAAAGCACTGCATTTAATGTAACGCTTATGATGGAAACTTCACCGCATACAATGCAAAAAGCACTGCATTTGATACAAAATGCACCGCATATAATGAAAAATGCACCGCATATAATGATGGGAAATCACCTTCAGGCCCTTAAGGGCCTGAATTTTTTTTTCAGGCCTCATAATATACATGAAAAAATTACTCAGTTCTGACTGGTTAAGATAAATGCAGTTTTTAGGTAATTTAATGCAGAAGAGGGTTAATTCAGTGCAGAGAAGTAACAAATCAGACATTTTGATTGGTCAAAGACTCACAGATAGCCAGTGAAATGCGAGCCTTGGATGTCGCAACATTTGGATACGCTGAAAATTTGCGAGCGAAACAATGGCTGGCGTTTTAAGTAGGTTTTCTTTTGCCACCGCAACAACAATACAGCAGCTGAAAAACAGCTTTAACAACGAAAACACTGTAAAAAGAACTGATTTTTGGTTTTCTGTTTGGAAAAAGTGGTGTTTAGAGAAGGGAATTGCCAAGGAAATCGAAAATTACGAGCCGACTCAGCTTAACACTTTGCTCGAGCAATTCTACGCCGAAGTCAAAAACAAACATGGTTCAACCTCGCAAACGACAATCCCATTTCATCGAAGGTGACTCGGACACAGACTGAACAATTCCTTAAACTGTTTAGCCGGACTTTGAACTTTTTTGCGCCTTAAAGATGTGAAAATATCATTGTTTATTTTTTTTTTGAGAGGGCACGGTAACGAATCTTGCAATCTGATTGGTTCCTTACCCGGTCAGTATTTTCCTATCTCTGCCCACGGGCCACGGTTACGCTTTCGTGAGTTGCCAAGTACATCCCAACTTTCGTTGCCATTTTTCATAAATATATCTCGTTTTTCCGGCTGGGCAGTATTTTTAAGCAAACACTTCGGTCACTACCTCAAGTCGATGAATAACTTATGAATCCTCTCTTTTCTCTCACTCAAATCACTTTGGTTGA